ATGTAGCACGCTTTAAGATTAATGCGTGGGACTGATCGGACGGCCACGGCGTTTTCTTTCACCTCGGCTCCTCCTGTCCGAGCTCTCCTCCGACCGACCGTCGGTTCGCCATAGCGCCACGGCCTCGTGCTCCCCTCGGACCGGCGCCGCGCCGTCGTGGCCCCGCTTCCTCGCACCGCCGCGAGCCGCCTCCCCGGCCTCCCTGCGCGTGCCGCCATCTATCGCGGCTTATCCTTCCCTGAACCCGGCGCCTTGGAGCCCCGCCACTGCTCCTCTTCTCCTGTGTGTAAAGCCGAGCAGCCACCTTCTTCTTCTCCACCAGGAACATTTGATGTTTCTCTGTGGAACAATTTCAGATTTTGATGGAACAATTCTTTTGATGCATAGAACAATTTCAAGATTGTATGGGAACATTTTTTTTGACCGATGAAACAATTGCTGTTATCGCCAGAACAATTCTTAATTCTTCGTGTCGGGGGTCATTGCCGGCACCGGCGAGCGGCGGGTGTGGCGTGATGCGGTAGCCCTCGCGGGTAGGGCTGTGCGACAGAGAAAGAAAGAACAAGAGTTCGTAGCAGGCTGTATGGGCCGCGCTACAAGTGAGATAGCGGTAGGGCGCGGTAGAGATAGGACGACCCACCTGAGACAGCGATTCCTCCCTCCCGGTTAATTGGACGAATAAGCCGCGCCGCTGTACACCTTGACTGTGTCACACGTACGTGCTACGGGCGCCCACGTCCGAGGGGCGGTCGTACTAGAATACTGCTCGGCCGGCACTGCAGCGTGACAGATAACTTACCCACGGAGGGAGGCACGGCCAAGCCTTTCACGTGCATGCTTCCTATTCTTCAGTTTAGCACCATGCCCTAACGCATGTTTCTCTTATTATTATGCATTGAAAATTAGTTGCCCACAATAAATTCAAATGTCTACAACTTGATGACCAAGTTTACGTAGATTTTTTTTTTTGGATTGAATGAGGCATTTTTCTTACACTTCCAGAACAACCACATAAGTGCCGTAATCCGGATTGATCACGTAATAAGTGACGACTTTTCTCCTTATTATTATTTCTAGGAGGAATTGACCGGTTTTACATAGCGTTGCGGTTTGTATCTTCTAATGTTGGCCATCATTCTCTCCTTATTAATCTCATTTACCGCATGGGAAGAATAAGAAAAATGGAAACAAACTTCTGGAATCTTGCCCTCTCAGACGCCACTGATCCTTCTACTCCCTTCGTCTTAGAATAAAAGTATTTTAGGTTTGGTCAAAGTCTATCATTCTAAACTTTGATTATTAATAAAAAAAGTCACTATGTTTTTACCAAATATAAATGATGTTGTTAGATTCATCATTTGACTAGACTCAAATAATTTAGGGCCTGTTTGGATCCACCCGATTTTAAGAATTTAGATTTTAAAAGCTATAGGGGATTCAAACATGGCAGATTATGCATCAGATTTTAGAATCTAGATTATGAGATTTTAAGAATCCCATAATTTACTCTGACCCAGCTTTTAGGTGATTTTATTTGCCAAAAGACCCACTACCTTTAAATGTTTTTGATAATTACAGTTTGTGCCATTGTTTTACCATAATATAGAAAGGACAGGCTGGTCATTAACTACCTCAAAAACTGGTTTCTAGATTTTAAGAATCCGGGATCCAAACACCTTCACCTAGATTTTTTGTAGAAGCCAGATTATAGAAACTATACCTAGAATCTAGATTCTTAAAAGCTGATAGGGATCCAAACACCACCTTATTTGTTTATATAGATATTGACAGTCAAAGTTGAAAACAAAAATAACCTTGCCTAACTAAACTAAAAAATGCTTACACTATGAAATAGAGGGAGCATATGTGCAAAACCAAGGGAGAGAGGGGGAGGGGGCATAGATCTCAAAACAAAAAAAGGGGGGGGGGGGGGGGGGGGGGGGAGGAGGGGGCATATGAGCCCCAATGCTTGTGTTGCATCCTTAATTCTACTCAAGATTTTACTGTCTGCTCATCTTGAAAAATGTAGAGAGACCAGGACTATTGTGCTATGGTCATCAGCGGCAAGTGACGGGCTGCAAAATCCTAAAAGCAAAATTACTAGCAGATCTGGATGACATCAGTGGCCCTTCCTAGTGATAGATTTCATTGCATTGTTATCAAACTGACATTTTGATAACCGAGCATGTTGGGTTTCAGGAATGAAACTTCTATCTATTTTGATGACCCCCCCCCCCCCCCCCCCTCCTCTTTCCTCATAAGTGTGTGCTCATGCGACTTATGTCACTTAGAGTTTAATGCTCATAAAACTCTCATTGAAATCCCATTGAGAAACTGGCTTTAATGGTGCAGCCGTGGTGTTATCTACAAAACATACAAATGGCAGGACAATCTTTACATTGGGGTTTGTACGGAACCAAGACATACAAACAACTGAAGCTCTCTTCACACCACACTCTTACGCTCTCCCTTGCCCCACTCTGATTTCAATCCTCTAGTGACACGTAAGGCTCACACTACAATGCTAGTGAATATATAAATCCTTATAATTCTGGACAAAAAGAGCGTCCTCTCAAAGGAAGGACTCACTTGTCAATGCAATGTTGTCGACACGACTGATGCACCGGGTGAGCAAATCTCACACCACCAGCACCGGCCATCCCATCCCGAAAAGGAAAAGTGGAGGTGAGTTATAAAAGCGGCCAACAGGGGAGGGGCAGGGGGGAGTTAGTGCCTTGCCACCCACAAATTGCAGCTTCTTCTCATCTTCTCCAGCTCCCCACTAGAATTGCGAGTTGAAGCATTAGAGTCTAGGCATTTGGTCAATGAGTGGCAGCGGAGAGGGACGAGGAGGCCAAGAAGGAGGGTTCCGAAGAGGTGGCTATTCGGAAGCCATTCAGCACGCACAAGCCAACGGGAGGAGCAGCCATGGAAGCGGTGCATGTGCTTCGACACTATGGGTGTGTTTGGTTTGTGTATTAGGGCCTAACCAGGCTAGAGTTATGTAGAATCTTCACTTTTTGATATGTTTGGTTGCCTGCACCATAAAGTAGCCAGGCCCTGGTAATGCAAAAGAGGCCCTTTAGCCTGGCTAACCGGAAACGTAAGAATCGGTCGTTCCCAGCAAGCCAGGCCCGTGCTTGCAGTGGGCCCCACAGAAAAGGAATCGTCTCACCTCCGCGCAGCTTCACCGCATCTCCTCCGCAACGCAGCCGGAAAGTTGTCTATCGCCGCTCGCCCACTGCTCCAGGCCGGTGGCCCTAGGCGCCCTCAACGCCGTCAAAATCCCCGACGCGGTCGCCTCATCCTCCGCCGTCGTCTTCCTTCCCACCTCCCCCATCTTCTTCTCCCGTCTGCTCCGCCTCAGCTAGCGGCAGCGAGCGTCGGGACAACCACGACTTATTAGTGGATCAGTTCTCTGTTTGGAAGCCTGTTCCTGTTTTCCTTTTGTTTATTTCGGATTGTCAGGGTCTATTTTGCCCTGCTTTGTCTTGGATTCGATTCGTTGCTCATCTTGGTCGCTGGAGGCTTTGGGAAGAAAAGAACTATAGTATCTTTGAATTTCGGGCGCTCCAACCGGTAGCCTTGTCGCAAGAGATCTTTGATGAGGCTCATCTGTGGGCGGCTGCCAGGTCCTCCAAACTGCTGAAGCTACTCCTCACTCGGCGGGCGTAGCGTTTTGTTTATGATGCTTTGTTTTGGGAGCTTGTTCCCGTCTCCTTTTCGGTTGTTTTTATTTACGATTGTTAGGTTGTTTGCACTCCTATTGTACTTGTAACTTAACAATGCTTCGTAGTCGGATTTTGCCAAGTACCTTAGGGAATTAGGCCATGGCCATGTTGCGAGCTTTTCTCTTCTTCTTAATCAAATACGTACGGATCTTTAAAAAAAAAAGAATTGCCGACAGACTCGCGGCCTGGAGCTCGTGACTGGTGCCAGCCACACCTTGGACAAACAAGGCGAAGGAAGGAAGGGGGCAACGCAGCGCGCGTTGGGTTTCGGCGGGCACACGGCAGTACGTAACGTTCGTAGTAGGGCAACGCAGCGCGCGTTGGGTTTCGGCGGGCACACGGCAGTACGTAACGTTCGTAGGAGTAGGAGGCAGCAAGCTTGCACACCCAGAAAAAGGCGAAATCCGTTGGCAGTTCGATGTACGTACGTTTGAAGGTTCCATTTCCTGGCTTGCAATTGCACACTGAACAAAAGTAAATTACAATGTGATTCGACCGCTGCTGCGTGCGTGCCGGTGACCAACGGCGTGGCCTCCAGCTGGCGACGTGACTGCTAGCGCGAGCGACGGCGGTGGCGAACTTGGAGGCTGCGCCGGCGAGAAGCCGTACGTCGGGTGCCCATTTCCTGTGCGCTGGCCGGATTGGGTGGTCGGAGTGTCGTTTCGGTAGCCGAGGAGCCTACTGCGCGCGACAACGGCGGAACAATGAGGCTGGAGAACAGGGAGGCTGCGCCGCGCGTTCCTAGCATGCTGCACGTATGGGCGTCCAGCGGCAAACAATGCACCGCCGTACACGCCGAACGTGGCGCAGTGCCTCACCTCGCTCACAGTTAGTCGTCCGTGCTACTACAGAGATGCATCGTACCACCTTGATGTGCCGCTCATCGGCTCTCTCGCGTCACCTGACCTCATCGATCGGCGACGCTCACGGGCACGGCCCCGACCGTACCACTGACCGTACATCTCCTTCAGCGAGGCCTGCATCATAATTGCTAAGCACCGAATCTGATAGTACCACACGGTACGTAGGACCTCACAAAAGATGAAGCCAGAACTGAACAACACTGATCCCATAGCTGTTGTGGCACCAGACAAGACCAGACAAGAGCATATGTTCCTTGGTAGCAGGTGCTGATTTTAAACTAAATTATTGTATCTGAGAAATTATGGTTTCAGAGAATTTTAAAATTCACCAAGGAAAAAATAATTGATTAAGAGGAAGCAGGATTGGCGCTGACAGGGTGGTGAGGTGAATACTGTTCCCGTGAAAGGGGTCTTGGTCTAATGGTTAAGGCATCCGAGTAGCACTTTTAAGGTCCTGGGTTCGACCCCCGGTGGGAGCGAATTTTCTAGGATTTAACGGCATTAGTGCTTTCAGCGGTAGGCGACGTGGCCGTCGACAGCGAGGCGCCAGTGGTGACTTCGTCAATCTGGAGGATTTGCAGGCTCAGTCTTCGAAGGTGCTCATAGGGGTAGGGTTTGCGTATGTGCGTTCATAGGGGTGAGTGTGCGTGCGTTGTGAGTGTCTGAGTTGTACTGTGTAATCAAAAAAAAAAAAAGGGTGAACACTGTTCCCATTGGGGACTTTGGGCCGCCCATTCAATAAGCGGTATAATTATTGAGAAAGTGTCGAAGTATTTTTTTTCTTATAACTGATAATAATATTTGGTTAAAGAGTCTATACTACTACACTACATATGGCATGGAATGCCAAATTACTACCTTTGTTTTTAAAATATATGACGTTTAGAAGAGTTGAACTGAATTACCTGTACTAAACATCATAGATACTTAAGAAGGGAGCGGGTATGATTGAAACCTTACAATTCAATGGTCTCTATATCGGCAATCAGACGTGACTTTAGAGGGGAAGGAAAGGAAAGTAATGAACAAGAAGCCATTAGGGATATTCAGGATTTCAATATTTTTTTACCATCATAGTGCATTGCTACAACTAGATTATCCCTGCTTGATTACCTCAAACTCGTTGCCAATGCATACGTAAGCAAGAGAGACAAAAAGAAGTTGGGGGGGGGGGGGGGGGGGGGGATGTGTTGCCCCCTTGGGTTGCTTCAAACCCGAGGCTCCTTGTGTTGTGCCTCGGAATTTTGATGGTCCCGTACACGATCTGAGCCTTGACGAAGTGGAGGCACACTGAGGCACATCTGTTTCTCTTTGTCGAAGCTCGTCATGAAAAAGTTGAAAGCTTCAGTGACGTGGAAGCGTCGATCTCTTACTACACCGATGTCCGTCTTTTAGGTCAATGCATAGCTGCCACTATAAAAAAAATATTTTATGAGCATACTCAAAACCCGTCTCATGGCGCTTTAGTAATTCGGTAGCAACTAAGAACTACCAAAGACCGAGTTAAGTGTTAGCGACCCCTTTATAATTGTACGTGCACTTCTTCATTTATGAGGCGAAGTAAGTAATAGCGACCATTTTGTAAAAGAAAACAATTGTTTTGACTTTTAAAGTTATAATAACAATAGTCCCCTTGGGGATAAAAAGAAGTAATAACAACAATCTGATAGTGACGAGTCATGATGAACAACTAAACATTCTAGTATGGATACGAGAACGGACGTTTCTTACCCCCCCCCCCCCCCCCCCCCCAAAAAAAAAAGCCACACACATTTCCCCTAGCATACTCAGTGTCACATTTCCTCTGTTTCTCTTGAAAGCCATCTCTATTTGCCTTCTCTTTTACTTTTCCCCTTCACTTATGTCATTTAACAACTGAAGTAGCGGGCGGATGGCTACGTGCCCTTCCCCCGCCCGTGCCGCCTTCTCTATAGAAGATGCCCGATGTCAATCGCCAATTTACACTCATGCGTGCGCAATGGCAGATCCAGGACTAAAATTCACCTATGGCGGACCTATCACTACTTAATATATAAAAAAAGACTAAAAAATATACACAAAATAACATTGCGATATAACTATAAAATAGGACATATATGATTGAAGTACAATGAACTTCATAGCATTTAGAAAAAAAAAAAACGTCAAGCACAAAAAAATATTTGAATTAATTTTATAAATACCCTTGTTTTACAATATTTGTTTTCCAAAACCACAAATATTTTGATTTGTGGCACTTAACCCCAGGTTTTATGATCATATTGTTTTACAAAACCATATATCTATCAAAAATAGCGATGGATAGGACATGTGCCAAATTTTAGTAAATTTCACAAAACCAAACAACAACACCAATTTTTTAAGAAAAAATTACTTAAAAGTATTAACTAATGTGAGAGACCAGGGCTAATTAATTCTCTGAATTGTAGTTGTAATTTGTTCTAATTGAACATAAATTTTGTGGCTGAAATTCGTATAACAAATTCTCGTGCACAACAATTAGCCAGTTCTCATTAGGAACCTTTAGCTTTTTTCCTCCCATTCGGCGGGTCCACCGTCCAATACACTTTAGCCTGGTTCCCAGCATGTTGTAGCAGATTTTCTTCTGTTCCCTCGAGTAACTACACGGGGATTCACATCAATGTGCCAAGAGCCGGAGATCAGGCATCAATTGATGGTTTTCCTCGCCCCCTGAACCAGCCTATAATAATTAATCCCGCGGGGTGATTTCATTTGCCTCCATTTAGCAGCGATGCAGCGGGCAGCAGATTGCGTACAGGATTATAGCTCGCCATAGTGGTGGATCCGCCACTGTGCGTGCGCTTCTGGCATGATGCACCGCTACGCACGGTGTCCCGGACCCAGCAGTAAGTCAACGGCGTCATACAATGTGCTTCTGGCATGATGCACCGCGCCGCTGTCCCGTCCTGACCGCTGTCCCGTCCGCGCGTTCCTGGCGTGCTGCTGCACCGGACCATCTGCAGAACGCCCTACCAATAGTTTTGACCGCCGGCGTCCAGCAGCAAACAATGCACCACCCACCGTACGTCGAACGACGGCAACGTCGGTCTTTGGACGTACGGTCACGACGTCGGCGACCTGAGAGAGACAGCCTCCTCGGCTCGGTTTGACGAAGCCACTGTCCACGTCGATCTACTGTTCACTAGACGGTGCGTCTGCCCGTGCTTGCGGAGCGCGTTGCTTGCGAGCTTGGACACGACGTACGAGCGACGCGGCCGGCATTGATCGGCGCCGGCCGCCCTTCCAGCTGACCACGGCCAGTTAGTTGTCCACGGGACAAGAGCCCGTTACTCTGTTCCACGCCAAAGCCATCTTCCTCTGTTATGCGGGAGGAGGCACGGCCAATCCCTCCACATGCTTCCTTTTCTTCAGTCTATAGATTATTATTTCTTGGGAGGGACTTAGGTTTACGTAGCTCTACGTTTGTATCTTGCGATATTGGCCCTCCTTCTCTCCTTAATCCCCTTTAACCATTTGGAACCTTTGCCCTCTCAAGTGCAAGAACACTGGTACTTCTATACAGACAGTGGAAAAACCGAAAGGGAGGGGGGCATATGGGCCCAATGCTTTCGTTAATACGTTATTGCAACACAATATTTTACAGCCAAGTCGTCTTTAAAACTGTAGAGAGAGAATAGGACTATCGCGTTATAATCATCGACGGCAAGTGACGAGAAGATGGGAACATTCATTGTCTTACTGAACATTTTTAACATCGTCGTGCACTCGGTTCAGTAATTTATGATGATTTTCTTCTCTAAAAAATTACTAGGTGCAGAATAACTATTCTAGCATATATAGCAATTCATGTGCATCTGTGACATGCATTCAAAATTTGCGGGAGTAGCAGTTATTGTTCGTGTATAGCATGTACTTATTCATGAAATGTTACATAATCTCATCATACAATAGTGATATCGTCACCCGGGCAGAGCGAGCTAGAGTTGCACATTGAGGCACATTGTGACGATACGCATCGTTTAGTGCGAATGGCCTGGCCATTGATGCATCAAGAGAGAAGAATTTTTTTTTTTTTGAGATGTCAAGAGAGAAGAATTTGAGTGCCTGAGTGTGCGAGGTAGCGTGGGAAGAAAGCCTTTCTAGAGTTCGTAGCTCATACTCACCCCCATCCCCCGCGTCCAAAAGTACACTCTTGCTTGCCGTTCCTCTGGAAGTTTACTATGTTTCCATACCGTCACAGCGTCACCCACAAAAAGCAGCAGTATATGTATGAAATTTTTTTCCCCAGACATACAAGATTTTATTCTTTAGCCAGGTTATATCTTATCTTTGTTCTTACATAGCACACATATAATCGTGTCAATTGCAGCCGGGTTTGTGACACATGCAACGCATCTTGAATGAAGGATAAACAATTCCGCATTGGCCAACATCATACTTTATTTTTTTACCAGAACCATCATCGTAACTTTCTTGGCTGCACTCATTTTTGCATAAAGATGACTTCTTAAACCAGGGGCACTTCACCTGATTATCTGCTTGATTCCAGCAAGCCAGACGCTCATATTTTGGAGAAATAGACTCGCAACGTAAGAATTATTATGTCAGAAATCAGATATACAAATCAATCTCGCTAAATATGTGTGTGTGTGTGTGTGTGGGGGGGGGGGGGGGGGGGGGGAGGGGGGAGGGGGGGAGAACCTGATGCGAGGACGAGTAGTATAAGCAGCACGGAATGCATATCCTGCTTCTTGGTTACCATGTGTATTGAGCCACGCTAACTCTATGTGTCAGACCCCATTTCTGGAATCTGTTGTGCATCCTGTATCAGTCCCTGGATCAGTAGCTGATACGCACAAAAACACAGATATGATAATCAAAAGCATACTTCGAATAGGTAAATAAATAGGATACCTGGGATAGAACTAGGGCTGGACGAAAAGCTCGTGGGTCGCTAGCTCGGCTCGGCTCGTGACTGGCTCGGCTCGACTCGGCTAGGCTCGTTTACTTTTTCTAACGAGCCGAGCCAGGTTTGAAGCTCGTTATGTTTAACGAGCCAGCTCGAGCTAGCTCGTGAGCAGTTCGCGAGCCAAACGAGCCAGCAAGTCTCAACAGCCCACCACCCCACGGTCCCCTCCTCCTTCCCACACCTTATTCCTTTCTCAAATTGAGACATCACCACACCTTGCCTCCTTCCAAGTTTCCATCGTGCGCCTGCCTCGCTCCGCTTGCGAGCCACACAACCTGTCTCGCTGGCCCGTCACCCAGCTCCTTCGCCGTCCACTTACGAGCTTTCCCGAAAGAGATCCACGACGTTATCGGCGCCTCCTTTCTCCCGTAGCAGCACCCGCCTCTCCCTTCCCCTCCGTCATCGACGCTGCAGCCATCAACGTCAAAGCTTATGGTGAGCACGAGCTCGTTTTCCTCACCATTCTTCCTATGATTATGGCGACGACAGAAGAGGACCAAGTCAAGATCATGGCCGTGGAGAGGCGAC